TTATTATTATTTTGGTTGTTTTGAGACAGGGTCTCCCTGTAGCCCCAGCTGGCCTGGAACTCACTATGTAGACCAGGCTGGCCTTGAACTCACAGAGATCTGCCTGCCTCTGCCTCCTGAGTGCTGGGATTAAAGGCATGCGCCATCACACCTGGCTTATTTGTCCTTTTTTGAAGGGCTTACTGAGTATACTCTGTGTTTTCAGTGCTCCTGGGTGTGGCTCTATCTATTGGAGAGTGACCAATCTACCAATAGTCACATGAGGCATGAAAACTGACTCTCCCTTTCCTAGCATCTATCAATTGCCAAAAGATCCTCAGCTATGCCCAGGGCTTTCTGCCCACCTCCCCATCCATGCTGGGCTCCTGTTTGACTTCGATTTGCACAGTTCTTAAACATGCTGTCATAAGTGCTGTGGTTCATATGTGCAACTACCCTGTGGAAGACATGCATCCTTTATAAAAATAGAAACCACTCATAAGTCTTGCCTTTAGACTTAACTTCTGGAAAAGACAAAATAATTGGTTCAAAATATAAATTGAAGTGGAACCTACAACCTTTCTTGAAAACAAATAGGTTCTACTTACTAAGGGATCAGTCTATACGAAAGATTGGCTAAAGTTCTACATTTAAGCCACTTAGAAATCTTGTGATATGTATACCCACATTATTCTCTCTTCACAGATGAGATATGGAGAGGTTAAGAAATTTGCTTAGAGTTGCTTAGACAGCAAACATCAGAGCTGAGACTGTAATCTTGCCTGACTAATCAGCCTCCAAAATCCATGGTCCTGACTACTGTACCTGTAATGACCAGCCAAAGCAGACAACACTTCAAACAATTTCTTTTTCCATTTTTCATGTGTGTGTGATATGCATGTTTGTGTATGCACATTTTTATGTTGTGGGCATATGTGTGTGAGAGTGCCCATGTACATGCGTGTGGGCCTGAGGCTGATATGTGGAATCATACTGGATTGCTCTTCCTCCTCATTCTATGAGGCAGTCTCTCGATCAAGTCTAGAGATCAAATATGACCGGTCTTACTAGCCAGCTTGCCCTGGGGGTCCAGAGGCTGCTGCCACGCCCGCCTGAACTTCCATCCTCCTACCTGCATAGCTAACACTTTGAACACTGAACTTTCTCCCTAGTCCCACCTGAAACAGTTTTAAATGAATGTCTACATGTTCCCATTCATGTGGCCACAATTTGACCAGATTTTTATTTTACTCTGGACTGGGTGGATTAATTTTGTTTGGGGTTACTACAAAAATTCTGTTCTATGGCTTGACTTCTTGGGACTAGTATTTCGTGGAGACAAATTCTCTACTACAGTTTCTTTCTTGTGTCTTCGGTTTGTTTGCCTGAGATCGGCTGTTTTGGGTAATAAAATCGATTTTGGAAAGAAAAGACAAAATGGAAGTTAGGTATAAGTTAACTGTTACCTCCCATATTGCATTTGACACACAGCTTACGTATTGACAACTCTAGTTCACATTATTGTTAAGTATTTGCACCAATGATAACATTGAACTTTCAGTATGTGTCAATTTTCTCTGGCTAACTTGACTTTTATTTATTATTTTCTTTAGGGATTTGGAAATTCTGAATTGAGTAGCCTAGTTATCTTTCTGGTGTCTTTTTTTTCTTTTTAGCTTTCATATCCAGGAAGAACATGGCCTTGGGACTGTGCAGTGCAGTGTGGAAGGCAATTACATCGGTCTGTTATAGAAGTGACATCTGATTAAAGACTCACTCATTTCTTTCTTGGTATCCAGAAAGAAAAAAAAACCCCACATTTTTCACTGGTTGGTGTTAGGAGAATAGTAATCATTAGTATCAAAGTATCTCCTAAAAGCACTACACAAAACCACTTACATTTAAACAAATTTCGTCCTCACAATCATCATATGTGGTCGGCGAAAGTATTTTTCACTTTACAAGTGAGAATATTAATGCTGTCAGTCAAGATTTACATCATGCTCATTGTAAATCTAAGACTGAGGTCTTACTTGCTATGCAATGTCACGTTTGTCCTTTTCTTATTGGAAGTCCACTTTGCTGATGGTGTTAAGCTTTTGAGATACTTACTTTGGGCACCATTAAAGAAATTCCAGGCTTGGATATTAATGATGATATTAGAGCTTTTGGTTTATGGTAGTAATATCCTGACCCAAGAGATTTGTGCAGATTTCTATATTGAATTCTGTCTCTTTGTGTTTCAGGTTCCCAGAATGTTAGTTTTTCAGTATTTAACAAAGGGAAGTAAGTAACTGGGGTAGAGGAATCCATCCTTATCTTGTATTATCTGTTTTATCTTGTATGTTCTCTAACCTTTATAATAGATAGTTTCAATTATACACCAGGCTAGTATAACAAAATTTTCCACTGATTTCTTTTACTTGAGTAAGCATTGCGCTCTGTCTCACCTCTAGGCTTCAATATAGGAATGGTGCAGACTTTTGGTAATTAGCTCTTGGGTAATACTAAAGTGCAATGTCTAAAACTGTCACGTGCATATTAAGTGGGATATAATTTACTGAAACACATATCAATGCAAGAATTTTCTTTTTCAAGTTGGAAAGAGTTAAAATTTAATCATGTTTTGGAGAAACAAATAAAATAGGATTCTGGATTTCTGTGTGTGCCGTATTTCTTTTCTTGTTCTGCTAAATGCTCTCTTTTAAGTGTATTGATTAACTGATACTAATTTTTTTGTGATAATATCAACACATTAACTATAGCTATACAGCTCAAACTATGGCTCTGTTTTGTCTTTCTTCTCAAGAATAAAACTAATCTACTCTATACTTACTTTAAATCAGGTCAAAACTAGACCTTTTTACATTCACAATTCCATTTAATACGTTTGACATTTCATGAAGTAGGGATTATTCCCACACAATAGTTTCATCTATGAGAAAACAAACTTTGACCCATTGATACTGTTTTCTAGTTATCAAATGGAGCTGGTATCCAAACTGTTAATAAGGGTTTCTAGAGGTTATTCTGTGAACGTCCTTCCAGGCAGCCAATTTAAAAAAATGTAATCTTAGGTATTTTATACAGTAAAATTTTGTTTTGCTTTGAAGGGCAATGGTGCATAAGGATGCATGGCTGATCAGTGCTAAACAAGACTTGTTCCTGTATCAGACACACTCAGGTATGCTTTCAAACCATCCTGCATTCTTCATCCCTTTCCTTGGTGTACACTCAAAGTTAGACTCTTCTTTTGTTTCTTCTAGCAGTTTGTCTATGGCCCTTTGGTTTTGGTTGAAGTTAACTGATTGTATCTGTGTCAGATTTAGTTCCCGTAGTCCTTCATCACTTACAGATGTTCTGAGAAATGCGCCATTAGATGAGCTAGTCATTGTGCGTGCGTGACAGCATACATTCACACAAATGTAGCTGCTGCGTCTCAGTCATTCAATGTGACCCCTTGATGTGAGCAGGAGATGAGGTAAATATGAGATATAGGAAGCCAGCGTTAGTGTGATGCAGCATACTGTTTTATAGGGAATTTTTAAAATAAGCATGTGTATCACACCATAAAATGACACTGAAAAGTAGGGAATATTATTATTATTATTTATTATTGTTATAATTTTATTTGGTGGGCCAAGATGTTTGTTTTATTTATTTCTTTTGGGATGGAGAGGTTTAAAAGTTTGTTTCATGCCTCAAACAACTTTCCCAAAAAGTAAATACATTGTCAATATGTAAGATACGTACATGAACATTACATGTCCCGGGCAGACGCTGCCATGGACAAACACTGCTTCTTCCATCTTTCATAACAATCTGAATTCAAGATAATATGTATAATATTCATTTTTCTGTGTATTCATTTCAGCAAATTAGTGTTCCTTGGGTTCTTGTTCACATGTGAAAGGAACTGGAACTTATATTTAAAAATAAAAAATGTAACTTGTCTGTGATTTGGATCTAGACGAACGGTTACTTAACAAACCATTCAGCAATAATGGCCTTAAACACTTAAATAGTCAATGAAACTGCAACTAATTAGGGGAGTGTTGATTCTAAGAACTATGGCATTCATAGCGAAGTCTGGTTGTCAAGTTCAGAGCAAAGCATCAATGATATCACTTTTTTCTTTTTTTTGTCTTTTTGAGATAGGGTCTCCCTGAAGCCACAACTGGCCTGGAACTCACTATGGAGACCAGGCTGGCCTTGAACTCACAGAGATCCACCTGCCTCTGCCTCCCAAGTGCTGGGATTAAAGGTGTGTGCTATCACACCCGGCTAATTTCACATTTTTAATAGCTATAATAAACATGTAACCATCATTTTTATTAATTGTATAAAATATTATGGAATGTATACATTTGCATTATACTTTTTATTAAAATTATTTTCAAACTTTTAAAGTGTTTCATGGTTTCATAATTCATATAATGAATTTTAGTATTTTCACTCCCTTATTCCCTTCATTCATCTCCCTCCAACGGGTGTTATAAGTTTATTTACACAAGAATCACCACATACTGTGTGAGGAGTGCATATGTGATATGTCCTTACAGTAGGCTCCATGTCACTACACCACAGGAATTTTTCAGTGCCAGTACAGTCTGGGGACCACTGAAGTAGATGTGGTCTGCTCTTAGTGGATACACAGTTATGTTGCTGTTGGCTGTGCATTCAATGAGGCCTTATATAAAGCCTATGGATATAGATTGAATGAAAGAAAGAATATTCATGCCTCACTTTATCTCCCTAAAAAAACAGAAGGAAGTTTACATATTAGCCTAAAAGGACATCTTGCTGTTTACACTAATGTCTCATCTCTGGGCATTCATTCAACACTTTATAATATGCATGTACTGATGCTAAGCTATGGTGTTGCCCTCTGATGAGTAAGTCTTCATACTGAAAAAAGAATGCTGAAATTTGGGAATTTGCATGAAAGCTTATTCTATTGGCATTGAATTCTGACTCTTGCTTTTCAACAGCATACCTATATGTTTGAGGGTAGGTTTGAGGAAGCACCCGTGCTGATGTACTTAATGACAGACATAACAAGACAACCAGACATACATAATTTCAATATTTATTTCTTTTAACCACAAGATAGGTAACAATGCCCTTATTTTATTGATGAGAAACAATTAAGAGGGAAAATAACTTGCAGTACGAGTTCAAAAGTCATGCACATAACCAGTCTACTTTAGGAAGTGTGCTGCACTTAAATTCCGTATAATTCTTCTATGATTGTGGAACCTGATATGCTGGGCATGCTGACAGAGTTGGTGCTTATAACATCTCTTGGAATGAAAACTCACAGGCATGAACTTTTTCATAGCAGAAAAATCTTTGGAGAAAGTAGATATGAACAGCCATAAAGTGTCTGTGGCTTAAGGATTGGCTTTCAGTCACTAATCAGCTTTGTTAAGCTCCTCAGCATTTCTGAGCCTTGTTTAAACATATATGAAATTAACAACGTGGTGTTGGTGCTTCAAACTCTAAAGACTATCTAAAGAAGATGGAAAGAAGAATATTTGAAATCATTCAACATTTTGTTGTCCTTTTTATGACTATTTTCAAGCAATCACTAATTTCTCCTTTTTATTTCTCATATGCTTATTAAATATGATGTATCTACTTTATCTCTAACCACTGTGCAGTTCTGGACCCCGTCATCTCTTGCACAGCTTGCTACAGTGATGTATAAGGGGCTTCTGGCTTGACAGTTTTCCCTACAGATCTACAGCCAGCAGCAATCTAGGCTTCAAGCGTATCTGATGCTTCTTCACTGTGCACAACCTCTAAGCATTCTCATCTCCTGTGAGAAATAACCCAGTTTTCTATTTGCTTCTTATCTGCTTCTCCAGCTCCTTTTCTTTATCCCTCTCCACATAATTAAAAAATATTTTTATTTATTGTTTTATTCATACAAGTATATTACCTGCTTGTATATAAGTACACCTGTGTCGTGCAATGCCCATGGAGGTCAGAGGAGGGCGTTGCATCCCCTGTAACTTGGGTTACAGATGGTTGTTAGATGGCATGTAGGTGCTGGAAATTGAACTTGAGTCTTCTGCAAGAGCAGCCAGCGTTTTTAACCACCAAGCCATCTTTCCAGCTCCCCTTCCCCCATTCTAACGGTACTTATATGCATTGTTCAATTTCTTCTCTCCATATTCCGGCTATTATTTGCTTTCAATGTCCTCTCTTTCTCCCTTTCATGTGGTCAGTTATTTTATTTTATTTTTTCTTGTCACAGGATCTCACTATATAACACAAGCTACCTTGAATTTATTGCATTTCTGCCTCAACCTTCCCAGGACTGGGGCTGTGTGTGCCTTCATGCCTAGCTTTACTAGGTCAATTTAAAATCATTATTTAAGACTCAGTTCAGATATTATTTTCAGAAAGTTTTTTAAATACTCTGTACCCCATCCCATTTTTAAACTTCTATTTCATAGACTCTAATTCTGCTGACCTGAAACATAATTATACTTATGTATATCTATCTGCATTTCCTTACTATACTCTCCTCTTTGAAGACAGGAACTATTTTGCATTTATCTTTCTATTTGGATACCATAGAGTAGGTGCTGTATGAATGTTGAAAAAAAACCTACAAAATATTTGCAGTTATGCTATTTTAAGACAGTAGCGAGTAGGGAGACTCATGGCTGCTTGAGGTGCTGAGAATAAGGGATGGTAGAGTGCTTAGTGACTTTTCTATCGCCCCCTCTATTGCTCAGGGAACATCATGGAAGAGAGGGCAGAAAGAATGTCAGAGCTAGATACGGGGAAGGGCTGCAAAGTGCTGTCTTCTGAGATAACACAGACATTACAATCATGAACTCACAGAAGCTACAGTTACCTGCACTGGGTCTGCACAAGACCGGCCTTGTCATCAGTTATGGCTAGATGAGGGACTCACGAGGTCTTTCCCTCTGCTGAACTACTGGTTACTGAAGGATTCTTGGAGCAGGGGAGACAATTGTCTCTAATTATGTACCCACTGGTGAGCCTGCCAAACTCTAAGGGATAGTTCCAAACCCACAGCAAACAACATCACCTTGGTTAAATTCAATGCATCACAAAAGAAAGCAAAAACAACTTCTTGTGAGAAAGATTTGTAGGGAGGACAGGGTGTTAGCAGGAGTGAAAGGTGAGAGTAATTAGATTGCCTTTTGTACATATATGAAAATGTCAAAGAAAAAATTTAAAAAAGATTCATATTTTGAAGTTGTAACCATTCATGATTAGCTCCTGTATTTAATCTACATTTAGTTTATCAGAGAACACCACTTTTCTAAAGAGAATGAAACTTTAAACTGTCAGTGTTTAAAGAAAGGATGAGGAGCCGGAGAGATGGATCAGTGGTTAAGAATACTTACTGTTCTTTTAGAGGATCTGAACTTGGTTCACACCTGCCTGTAACTCCAACTCTAGGGGATCTGACACCCTCTCTTGGCCTCTTCAGGCACTGCACCCACATGCACAAACCTCTACATACATATACACATAATCAAAAATAAAAATAAAATATTTAAAGGATGAAAGAGCATGAAATTCTTTTGGGCATTTCATATTGCTATAGAGTGTTCAGCTTGAAAGAAGTGTGAGTGAGAGGTTACGTGCACCCAGGGAAAGAGCCTGCAGCATGGGGAAGAACCGAGGATGGGTTATTCCTTTTTCTGCTTAGAGTAATGGAAGCCTTGCCCAGTGTATTCATGGTTGATTCTTCCTGTGGCACCACCTACTCTTCCCTGCTGTTAAATTAGGTCGTTGATATGGAGAGACAGATTTCCTAAGGAACAATCAAAGGATGTAAGGGCATTGCTAATACTTTGAGCGACCTTAGCTATAAATACTGGTCCTGTATAATATACATTTATAGTCTTTTGTTATATGATTAAAAATGATTGTTATTACAAAATTTCCAAATGTTCTTGGACCTACAATGTAAGAAGTAAGTTACAGTATTTTCTATTATCGTATTTTCTTGAGCATATTGTGACCTATGTTTGGAAGCTTAAATTTTAAAATAAACTCTTGTAGAAATCCTATCCGTGTTTCCAGAAGTTGGAAGCCTTGGGGGAAGAACAGATATCTCCATTACAGGGGACTTCTTTGACACTTCTGCCCAGGTTACCATTGCAGGTATCTATGCTGAAATGGCTGAAAATAATTCAGTTTTAAATGCTGTAGAAGTTTAAGTATCTCTTATGGCTTGGAGCTATGATGGGAATATTTAATTTTTTTAAACATTTACTTTCTGTGTGTGTGTGTGTGTGTGTGTGTGTGTGTGTGTGTGTACATCCTCATGTGCCACAGCGCTTGTGTGGCAGTCAGAGGATAACTTGTGGGATAACTTGGTTCTCTCCATCCACCATATAGGAACTAGGTGTCAATCTTGGGCTTGGTGGCAGTTGCCTTTACTCACTGAGTCATGTAATGGGACCTATCTTTGCCCTTTCTAGTATGTGAGGTCCTGAAGGTCTTTCAGTTGTATTTGGTGGGGATAGGGTAAGATTTTTGTCCTGGACCATACAAATGTGTCACGGCAGCAGGATGTGGTGTAGACAGGTTCATCATACACATACATCCCTATCCTAGGGATGAAGAGAAATAAAAGCACAGCTGTCTCTTTACAAAGGTCTACTTTTATTAAAAAACAATCCTTCTCACATTCCCTTTTTAGAAGGAATGGGTGGGCATTTGCCATGCAAAGTCCTCTAGAATGCCCCTTCGGGAAACCTTTTGGTACCTTTCTAGAATCTTTTGTCCCACCATATGGGGTGCTCTTCTAGTTGGTGAGATCATTTTGAGATGCCTGTTCACTTCAGTCTTTCCATTGTGTGTATAAATATATGTATGCCTTTATATGCATATATGTATGAACTTGAAAAAATCTTCTTAGGCATTCCATGTGATATTAGACACGTGTCTCCCAGGAAGATTGAATGCACCACCAGGGCTCCAGGAAAAGGAGCAAGACTCACCGCTCCTCAGGCAGGTAAGGAAGTCACCAGGGCTTCTCAATGGACTCTCCACTTGCATGCTTCATTACAAAAGCCTAGAGAGTAGAAGGAACCATATCTGAATTCTGATTCAGCTATGTGACTGACTGGGTCCCCAGTGCCATTGTTGGCTTTCATATCAAGAAAGATCTTCGATTTATTCAGCTATAGAGTGGCACTGCACTCCTAACCCCAGCTGTATGTCTAATCAGTGGACTTCAGTGGAGACCACAAATACAACCAACACACTGTGGCTGCTGAATGGAATCCCCGAACTGCCTCTCTGCATATGATCCATCATTGTATGTGTATTGTCTAAGGAGACAGGAGCAGTGGAGCGTGCCCTTTTGTGCTCATAGCAACAGCAGCAGAGAGGTCAGACAGTGAGACATAGTGGGGTATATTTAAATGCTGTACATCCCCCCTGTGGGCCTCTATCTGCTGCTTTCACAAATGGGGATTTGTTGTGACATTGCCACCAGCATAGGCCTGCAGTAGACATAAATGGAGGAGGCAAAGTAGCAGGTTCCCCCTGTCCTCTTCTGTTTAAAGCTCCTACTTCTTGGCTGCAAACATTTTCTGCTAAGCATTAGAACTGGAGGCTTCAGCATAGTTAAGGAATAAGGAAGGTTGGCATGTCACCCTGTCAAGAACTACAAGCTGTAGGTCTGTGCGTAAAGCCCTGACTTAATGGTTAAACTAGTTGCAGTGAGTCAACTCAGAGAGACTCAGTACTTGTGAACAAAGTTGTCCTGAAGGGGATGAAAGCTTTCCAAAGAAGGGCCACTGAAGCATGGAAATGCATGCAAAGCTTTGGCTTGAGAATTCCAGAGCTCCCAGCTCCACAGTTTTTACTTAAGGAGCGCTTCCATCCAAGGAACCAAAACCACTGAAACAAGTAATTGAGAGAATGTGTGTTTCCTGCAGCAGGAAACAGAACGCTTGGTCCCTTGTTGAATGTTTACTGCTTTAGCTATTCTGGTAGAAGTAGGATAATTTCCCGAAAGCAGCTATTTGAGTTACTGATGCCCTTTATGAAAAGCTGTTTGCAATCTCTTCCATGGAAGAGGACAAATTACCACACAGAGCAGTGGTTCTCCAATTGGGGTGATTTTGTCCACAGGGGACATTTGGCAATATATAGAAACAGGTTTTGCTGTTACATATTGGAGGTGTGCTGGTGATACTGCCATTCAGTGGGTCGACAAAGGATGCCACTAAACGTTCATCCTGCCTTGCATAGTATAGGCCTGACAAAGACACTCAGTCTAAAATATCACCAGTGCAGAGTGTGAGAAACCCACAGTTAAAATAATATTCTTAACACAGGCTCTTAGTTTTCTACTTATCGCTGATCTACTATCCATTTTAGGGTTCAATGAGGAACAGATTAGTAGCTAACAATAACAGTTATTATTGTGCTCCTTTATTTGATACTATATTTCAGGCTTGTTATATGTGAATTTTAAGCTTCCTTGAGTCCTTGTGTATTGTGCCTATTTATTATTGGCCCCATTTTGATGTATGAATGGATGAATACACAAGGGTGGAAGCAAAGGCCTGTAAACTGCACATCTAGAATGCTGTGGGACTGGAATCTGATGCACAACTACTTAAGTCTAGCGCTTTAACCCTCAACCAAAATTAGTATCCAATATTAATCACACATATGACTTTTGCCTCAAGGTTTTCTTGCTATAAAACATAATTAATAAGTAAAACATCACTTAAAATGCCACATAATAGCATCATGTCACACAGCTGGCTCTGTGTGCAGGTCCACAAATTGAGGTCACAGCACTTGAAAAATTTAGTGATTGCCGTTTTTTATTGGTAAAGAGAGTTTTATGGAATAGGATTTCCAGACTGATCCAGTCTTTAAAGGATGCTGAAGTTCACTTCTAGCTTCAGAAAGCACAAAGGCAGGTCTTGCCACAAACTCACCATCACATGGTTCTCCGCTGCTACAGGCAGCATCCTCTCTTGTCTCTAGGGCTTAGTTTTCTTCTGTGGTGCTGCCGTTGAAAAGACTCTCTGATCCTCTGAGACTGTCTCTTCTTACTCTTTCTCACCAAGTCTTTCCTTCCAAGAGGCTAATTTCAATCCAAGGAATATCTTCTGCTTTCTAGAACACACCTAGTGTCTATAGAGCCTCTAATAGAACTATTCCATCTTGGTGTCTGGAGCCTTCACAGATAGAATATGCAACATCTTTCACTCTGTAAGAATGGAGTCCCTGATTTGGGGGTAGGGAAACTTTCCGGTGGTTATGAGAGATTTGTGTCTTACAGGTAATCGAGGCCTTCTTTTTGAAGTTGGAGAAGCTGCTGAGAGCTTGGCATTGACTGAAGTCACCCCAGGGTACAGGTGGCAGATTGTCCCCAATGCCAGTTCGCCATCTGGATTTTGGTCAAAGGAAGGACAACCTTTCAGGTATGCTTTAGGAAAAATGGGAGTTCATATCAATGGATTAGGGCATGGCTAGGATACAGAGAAGAAAGAGAGTGAGATTTCTAGGGAGATTATTTATCACATGAGCCAATTCAACAACACGAGTATTTGACAGAGGCCTCAACCAGTGTTGATCATGCTAGAGGTTAGATGACCTTTTCTGGTGAATAGTCAAATATTGGCCAATATGAGAAGCCCATGTATTTTATAATTCTTATAATCTGCTTTGGAAATGAGTATCAACTGGAGCATTGGGCTCAGCAGTCCAAAAAACTTGATGCAGGTATGCGCTTGAGGTAAAACTAATTATCTGCCATGTGCCAAAGAAAGATTTAAAAACTTGGCCTTGGATTGTGTGAGGGAGGATCCCATTCACAGGCTAGGTAGCAGAACAGTTCTTTTGCAACAACCATCCTTGTTGAGGGTTGACCTGATGTCCAGTGTAAAGTCAGGGAATCTTGTGGGCTCTGTGAGGTATGGTTTCTGTACTAGTAACTTTCATCATGATTTTCTTGTTAGGTTTGAGTCTTTCTTAACACTTCACTGCCAAAATTTAGAGCTTTCTAAAGTGATGTTCAAAATACATAAAGTTTGATACTTTTGGTTACATTGCTTCTTCAGTGCTCTCTTAGTGTTTCTGCTCAGGGATGGATCTTGCACTCTGTGGTGGATCCGTTCCTTCTTTCTCCAAATTGCTTAAGTGACTCCTGAGTGTGAATTTCAGTCATGTGACCTCCTGTAGGGACTTGGACATTTCAGATCTTAACTTTAATGGGGAATGAAAAGCATCGTTTAGGGAGAGTCTTGTGTATTGAGCAAGCCAAGCAAGAAAGGGATGGTGAACGAAAGAGGGGTCCTGGAAGCCTTACTAGCTTGGATATAAACAAGCAGGTTAAGGCTTAAAAGAATTTATTTGTGGTCCACTGTATCACATAAATGTATCCTTATTATGTATTTTTGAGCATTAATAATATTTAGAGAAAAGCTTTCCAGGTATATTCAGTCTATAAAGGAGTCAGACCACATCAAAAGTCTTAAAAACTCTTATTTAAAACTTGTAAAACTTAGAAGTTTTGCCCCTCACATTGTCATTTTTGGAGCTATAAGCCCTACAGTAATTCATCTACCACCCCCTCTCTCATTCTTTGAAATCTCAAAATTTCAAATTAAAAAAAACAGATATTGATTAACTGATAAATTACTCTAGTGATGTATTTCTTAACAATATTTTTGCAAACCTCTCTTCTTTTTCTTCATTTTTCTTTCCTTTTTCTTTTTTGAGACAGGGTCTTACTCTGTAGTACAGGCTGGCCAGATAAGGTCTTACCCTGTAGTACAGGCTGACCTTGAACTGGAGCCTTTTGAGTTCTGGGGTTATAGGTATACACTATTAGAACTAGCTTTAAGTCATTTTTAAATATAAAGCTTGCTCTAGATGAAAATAATATATGCACATTAGAGAAAATTTGAAACCTTATTTATATTGATGATCTGAAGATTTTCAACAGTAATAAACAGAAAATATTTTGGAATTTTTTAGGTAGTTTGATTAGTTTTAAGACAACATCGTTAATATAAAGTTCTTAAAATTCATCTTAAACAGTTTAAAAATGGTGTCATTTTTAAAATGTTTCATAAAATTGTATACATTTTTTTCAAAGTTGCATTTGAGGACTTTTAAATTGAATTTGTTAACACCTTCAACAATTTGACTCTCTGACTATTTTATGATCCACAATTATTATTAATTCAGAAAATATTTTTCAGATATTTGGCAAGCTCAGAGAAAAATTGTGATGAATGAGCTCTGCTTGCTTCTAGTGAGAGCAATATTTAATATTGATTGGGTTATTTCCATGGTTTGTGGTCCATACTGCCTGCAACAGGTAGTTTTCTCAGTCACATCTCCATATTGTCTGTTGCTACGGCTGTGGTTTTCCTAGAGATGATACCACTGCAAAGGGACTTGTGACTATGTGAAGACTGAGCTATTGAAAGATGCAGGTTCTTTCTAGATTCTTTGGAGAGCCGATGTAGTGGAAGAGTCAGGTTTTCTTCATCATTTCCTTAAAGCAAAGTACAAGGGCAACTGCATGTTGGCTCAGTGATTAAGGCCTCATTTACTTTCACTTGACTCTGAATTTCATTCCCCCATGTCACAGAGCACGGCTCAGTGGGTTCTTCGTAGCTCCAGAGACAAATAATTACACATTCTGGATCCAGGCAGACAGCCAAGCTTCCTTACATTTCAGTTGGTCAGAGGAGCCAAGGACTAAGGTATTCACCTTCCTCTGGGTTTTCTTCTCTTTGTTTCTAGTCCTATATGATTGAAAGAAGAAAAGATCAAAGCTAAAGCTCCCATGTTCTATAGTTATAAAATGCTGCCAGGAGACCAGCGACTTGTCGAAAAAAATTAGAGGATGGTACCTATGCTTTATTGAACTGCTATTATAAATCCAGAAGTATGCTATATTTTCATTTGTAATCTTTGTCACTGTGAAGTTTACACATCTCTATATTCTAGATGAGTAAATTGAGGCTTAGAGTTTCCTTGGTCAATTTAGGACCAACTGGATAATGAGAGAATTGTTCAGAATTCAAAATTAGATTGTTCTGACTTTAAAAGTTGTACCGTTTGCCACTGAGTTTGGGTTAGCTTCATGTAAAAAACTTCCCTATCAGTCTTGAAGAATGAGAAAAGATGCCTTTAGAAAGCAGTCAAAACCCACTTGTGCCTTTGGCAGAGAACCACAAAGTTTTTAATATGCTGTTTGAACTCGACTTGCTTGCTGGAGAAAACTCATGGATTTTGATGAACTAATGTCATTGTAGATCTTTCAGGGGCTTAATAGTATCTTAATAGCATCATACATCTCTAGGGTGGTAGAGGGCCTGCTCCTGTTCTAAATGTGACCTATGAAGTCTCATTTGAATACTATACAATTGAAAAAGGCAGAACAGAGGAGTGGAGAAGCAAAAGTAGACACAGGGCCAAAGTGAGTGGGCTAACTTGGAAAAGTGATGACCATTTAAAGAATGTCACATTAGTAGCTTTTCAGATGCCCATTGTTTAAGAACAAAATGCCCTGGAGCTTTATACTATTGATCATGATCAGCTTCTTCGGGCACAGGTGACCACGGCTTCCATTGGGGTTGGCACTACTGACTGGTTTGACTCCTGGGAGCAGCAGGGGAATGAAGGGAATTGGCAGCAGAAGACTCCCAAGCTGGAGCTGTTGGCTGGATCCCAGTACTACCTGGAAGCAGAGCAGTATGGGATAGCCCCCAGCAAGGGGATGAGGATTGGTGTCCAGATCCACAACACCTGGCTGAATCCCGATGTGGTCAACACTTACCTCCAGGAGAAACACCAGATCCGAGCCCAAGCCCAGAGATGCCCAGAAATACAGGTCTGTACATTTTTCTAGTCCCATGAATGTGAGCCATGGGAAGAGAGAAGGGTGCTTAGTAGACAGCCCACTAGCTGGGAGCCAAGAGACCTGAGCTGTCATTATAAATCTGCTGCTGAAGATAGGAAATATTTATCCTATAGGGTTGTGAAGACTTAAAAATGATTTTGTTTTTACTTATTCTTTTATTTGTGTCTTTATTTATGTGCATGTGATAGCAAGGCACATGTGTGGAGGTCAGAGGAAAAACTTGCAGAAATCCAATCTCTCCTCCCAGCATGGGGATCAGGGGGATCAACACAAGTCTCAGGCTTTGTGGCAAATGCCTTTACTTACAGAACCATCTCGCTGGCCCATGAGGATTTTTAAAAATGCATTCTTATTGTTATTGAGATTATCCTTGTCACTGATTTAATTTTGAAATAAATAAATAAATAAATCTTTGAGGACTTATTCCTCAGAAGGCAATTAAGTTCCTTTACACACACACACACACACACACACACACACACACACACACACACACGTGCATGCACATGCATGTGTGTATGCATGCATACATATGCAACACACGAAACAGCATAGCCTTTTTGGTTCATTCAGGGCTATTTCTCTATGTGTTGTATTTATGTATTATTTGTCAAGTGTCATGGCACAGTGACCACAGGCCAAGCCTAAAGGGCTTGGGGACCCCGATAGATAGAAATCAGGATGCAGGAGATGCAGAGGCTTGTGTACCAGTGCACATTTATTGTGAAATAAAGCAAGCTTATATAGGAATCAGATCTATAGTAACCAAGGAATAACTAAGGATATATCACTAAACAGAAAGTAACCAAGGAATAACCAAGGATACATTATGTTACCACCAAGAATACATTACTTCACCAACCGAAACTCACACAACGTTTACAGTATCCAAGATTCAGCTACATAATATTCATAATATCTTAGATATAAGGTGTACTGTTTGTGATTACTCTTAGCAATTACCATAATTCATTATTTCTATATAGAAACCAAGCTAAGGGTGCTGAGAAATTCCGGTGCCCATAAACTGAAACGGAACTCTTGTTTCCAAGACTGCCAATTAATCAAGGAAGCATAGCCTGTCAACTCAGACCACAGAAGTAGAGAGCAGGGAAACTCCCAGGGTGGAAGCATTCTTCCTTCAATGCTTAAGTCAAGGCAAGCTGCCACAGCCTAATGCAGCAATGGCTGTGCCCATAATAATAGCTCCCAACAGTCAAGTCTGTCCTTGGGGTCTTTTAGTTTTGCCCCATGTTTTTGCTGACCAATTTTGTTCTACTTTCTGTTGTTCATTTTTTTCAATACGAAGATGAATCAATATAGACTCTATCTTCTGAAGCCCATAGTAATAGAAATAAATAACTACAGAGCAAAGTAGAAAGTAAAAGTGATTCACAGAGCAAAAGCATAATGTAGCCAACCAAGTATGTTAGCTGGGAGCAAAGTGCAGATGGAACAAACTTTTGTGAGAGAATGGCATGCCACATTGTGGCTTCCGCATCCCAGGCCACTCCCTGGGAGCAAACATTTGGTGAGAATGTCCAAAAGTGTGGCATGTGTTGGTAACCTTTACCTCACACGCCTAAGAGCAACACAGATAAGTAGGGAGCCAGTAATCATGCATGATATTCCAAATAACGTTTCATTAGTTGGTGGCACTGTTCAGAAATCTCTGGATCATAGTGCATTTAGAAAACTGAAACATTGGTAAGACGGAAACAGGAAGCTGACAAAACCTTTCTTGGTTCCTAGACTGATTGCCTGGTTCCTGTTTCCACACATCAGTTAATCTTAACTCTCTTGACTTTTTAGATGCTGAATGTATCAAGGAGTAGAGGAAATTTTTTCCTTACTTGGGACAATGTCTCTAGTCAGCCAGTTCCTGTAAATGCGACAGCCCAGCAGGTAGGATTCTTCTTCCAGTAATGAAGGTGGGCATGGAAGATCTAGGGGTGGCTTTTAAGCCCAGCATATGAATGACTGGCTTTTTATTGTTCCCTTTTAATAGATTCAAGCTACCATTGAGGAGTTACTTGCAGTAAAATGCAAACTGGAACCTCTTTCAGCTAATATCCTATTGTGGCTGGGATTTGAACAAGGTGTCTCCAGGCTTGACCAATTCTGGTTGTTTTCTTTCTTTTTTTTTAAAAAAAATATTTTCTTCTCTTCCTCTATAAAATAGAAACAATCTTCATTTCCTTTCCAAAGTGTCAACAGAGTTGAATAAAAACATGGAAACTGGATCTGGATGGAGTGGCCATGAGAGTGGCTATGTGCTTGGGAGGGAGATGGTTTTTGTGGGTGTCAAGAGAAGGAGTTCTCCTCCCGATTGTTTGGGTGGAGAAGAGGAATGCAACCCAGATAGTGTCCATTCTAAACAGGGAAGGAGGGGCAGGATATATATATATATATATGAGACAGGTGACAATAACTCTAAAATCTTGTTAGTTAAAAATACATGTAAAAGATAGTTATTGGAGCTAATGGATATTGGATTCCAGGGCTTTGCTGATGTCAACAAGAGCTCTTTCACTGAGCTTTACCGATCGCTCATTGGAGAAGGTCTGAATATGATCAAAATAAAAGTATTAGAAATTATTTTTGAGACAAATTCTCACTATGTTGTCAAGACTGGCCTTGAACTTGTGATCTTCCCTCCTCAGCTTCCTGAGTAGTTGAAATTACAAGCATGTATCGCCGTTCCAAGCTCATATAAAGGAATTATTACATAAGAATGCAGTCAATAATTCCTAAAATGTAACAATGTGTTTTTTTGTCCCCATCCTCTGTGACAGTGTGTTTTAAATACTATTCCTAAAGTGAACTTTAGTTCCATTGAGGGACTTAGCAGTGAAGAATGCTTACCACTTTTGCAGAGGACTTGAGTTCTGTTCCTGGCACGCACATGGTGTCTAGAACTGCCTGTAACTCTATTTCTAGGGGATCTGATGCCTTCAGATCAGTCTGACTGATCTCCACAGACTCTTGCATGCATGTGGTGCTCATATATACACTTAGGCACATAGACACATAATATGGATAAATAAATCTTTGAAAGTTCCTTTTCTTTTGCTTCTCAAATGTTTTTCTTAGTACACAGAGAAGATGGTATTAAATAACCATGCTCTGTGGTAGCCAGGAAGTGTTTTTTTTATAACTTGAATCTTCAAATTGGAGGATGCTAGGCATCCAAACTCTTCCCACCACTCCAAAGGCTGAAAGTCCAGAATTTTAGTCCATTTCCTTCACACATACTGGAAAGCTCTGTTGTGTTTAATTCCTATGCTGTGTTCCCATTTTTATCTGAATTGCATCTAGGCCTAGAAGGTTCCAGTTCTGATGGGATCCTTACCGGTGCAACTGAGCCCTTCTGTGGAAGATTCAGCCTCCGTCAACCTCAAAACCTTGTCCTAAACTGCTCAGATATCCAAAAAGGCTATTGGCTGGATCAGTACCCACATGTGAGTGTCTATCCTCAAGCTCCCAAGCAGGTTGGGAATGGCTGGAATGATCCTCTGGGTTTGAAATGAAAACAACAGACACATAAAGAATCACTTCTGTGATTTTTCCAGTACATTTTGCGCTGAGTTTTCAAGTCTTTTCCAGGCCTCACTCAGACATTGTTACCTGAGAATGTCTTATTGTTATTATTAGATAGAAGGTCTATGGAAGTTTTTATTTGCTCTAATATTTCCTTTGCTCTATTACTATGAGAAAGTACAGCTCTTAGGAGACAGGATGTCTGATTTGGAATCCCAACTGTATGCCCTGCATGCTCTTAATGTCTTACATACACTATGCTTTAATTTATTCATCTATAAAATAAATAATGATGTGGTCCAACAATGAGGAATGCAGTAAAGGTTAAATTAGATAGCATAGAAAAGTGTTACTGTTACTGATGGATTAACTGACATATTTCTTGACCACTTTTTACATCTTTGATTTGGTGGCGCTGCCATACTTATAAAGAGGTGTAGCTCATTGGACTTTTGGGAGCCAGTGAGTCTTTGTGTGGTGACAGAGCTCATAACAATAGTTTAACTCTTCTCCAGTTGAGCTACAATGGGAGTTAAGCTATTGAGCTGGCTGTTTCATGTCACGATGTTATCCATTTCATGTCACGACGCTATCCATCGTCAACCTCTTCTCTGCTTCAGGACCCTCCATTGGGTACACATATCCTTCAGGGGAGAGTTGGAAATGCAAATAAATAGTTTTAGTTGTTGCAATGGAGGAATTGCTATTGGCATCGAGTAAGAAGAGACAAGGTTGCTGCTAAACATCCTGTAACATGCAAAACAGCTCTCACAATATTTACCTATCATTACCGAATTCAAGATTATGGGAGTTGAAAACTCCCGCTTTGTAATTCTAAGTAAGATTGTGATGTGTTGAGTTTATAATCCAAGTACCCTGGAGAATCAATGTGGAAGAAAGATTCAGCAAAGGTAAGTTTTCATAGGTTGCAGAATTAAATCAGGTGTCTTCTGACTGATATATTTTAAAATTCTTATTGCCAAACTCAGTGACTTTTAAAAAGTTCTCTTGGCTAATATGCTTTTATTTTGTCTTGGAAAAAGTATTTGTTGTATTTTTTCTGGCTTTGTTGAGGAGGCAAGTAATGGTTTATAAGTGCTTTGTGCGTCCTGCTAGACTAAAAGCTTCAGGAGGGCAGGCCCTGGACTCTGACAGCATGTGGCAAGGTCTAGAGTAGTGAACGCCTTATCACTTATTGTTTGAATGGTTGCTTCTTGAGCTGATTAGCTGAAGGACTTGTTTGACGTTCACAGCTGTGCATTGCATACAAAGGCCTCGTGAACAAGATCCTGAACTTGACTGTGTATTTTACATTTGGCTCCCAAAATGTCATGAAGAACACTACCTGTGACTGGCGTTTCACAGAAGCTGACCCTGAGAGGTAGCTATTCAGTGGGAAAGTGTGGGTGAATTCTGCCAGCTGGGGGTATTGTTTGTCTTGGGAACAATGGTCCATCTGAGATACTGAGTCTTATAGTTGGGGACTTTGAACTTTTTCTACTTGACAAAGCAATTTGACTTAAGAGAAGCTGTTATGAATCTGAGGAGTCTTGGATTTTTCATAGGGATAGAATCTTAGCATTACCTTCGGGACAGAAGTCATAAGATGTTCTTTTACATGATAGGTGAGGAAAATCGAAGCTCTGAGGATTTACAATTAACCAAAAAAGTGTTCAGCTAGAGTCTCTGGAATAAAATTAAGGCGCCTCAATCCTTTGATTCTATTCTCTTTCCAGATATTTCATATGGGTTTGGTGTCTTTAAAACTCAGTGTGTCAGTAATATCAAGAGCTGTCCTTCCTTCCTGTGGTTAGAGCTTAACATGCAATCTGCTTAAGATGCACAATTACATTGTAATTTGAAAATGTTAATGCTGAGTGTTGTGAATGAAAGATTGATTTGAAATGTGATTTGCTGGTGTTGTAAACAAAGCTGGCCTGAGCCTGAGGCACATGGGGCTGTCTCATGCAGGGCTTAGGAAGGCTTTCTCCTGGCTACAGTCCTGGGGAGAGAGGCCTGCCAGCCAGACCCAGAGGCCCCACCTGCTTTCCTTTCGCAGCTGGCATTTCGCTTGCATTAACATCTGGGACACATGTGTGCATCACTTTGAGGATCTCCAGTCTTCTCTAGCAAACACTCCATTGCTGGTTCATCAGATTGACATCGTCCCTGTGGTCCAGGATGCAGGCCTGTTCTATGTGGATGAAATTATTATCGCAGATACAAACATTACAGGTGATCATCATATCTGCTGGGCCTGCCTGTCAAATGCCGACCTCAAACTTTCCCATTAGAGATTGCTGTTCTTTTAATGCGAGGATGGGTGATTCAACTTGCTTAGGCTTGGTTCTGAAAGCAGATAGGGTTGGGCTTGTCTGCCCATAGGTCTGTCTTCCTAGCTAGTCTCTTTTGTCCTGTTTACCTCACTATTTTCTCTTGTTTCTTGCACTTGCAAGCTTGTGACCCTACGTTGCCACTTTCTGGCTTGGGAGCTTTGTTTTCATCTTCCATCAAATGGGTACAGTAAGGAGCCATCCCACATCATTGAATTACCATCAAGATTAACCACTTATAAATATAAAGTAGTTACATATCTTGACCAAGCAAGTGCTTAATAAATACTTTAAATGACTATTATTACTATGTTAGCTAGCTGGACCTCTCCCTCTCCTTGAGTCACTCTATCTGTTATACAAAGTGCTAGAAGCTACACAGCAATATTTGGTTTTAAGACTTTCAAGGCAGACAGCAGGAGCTGGGGGAAAACCATATCTTCTGAGCATGCATATGTTCTTTCTGTCCCAGAGGCCTGTCATGAATGAGTTTAATGGCATTTAATAACAGTAATGACATTATTCAGAGCTCATGCCTCATTCCTTTTCTCACAAAGCTTCCTTTGACCTCTCTTGGGGCTAATGTTCTCACCTGGCTGTGCTGGTCACTGGCCCTCAGGACAAAGTGTTCATCAGAGGTCCCACTGAGGTTGGTCATGTATGATGAGCACCGATAGTCAAGATATAGGTGTGTTTCCTCTCAGGGTTTTCATCTGCCCTAGTTTGCCTTTGTTGCTGTGATAAAATACAAACCTAAACCAACTTGGGGCGGTTATTTTATAGTACAGGTTACAATCCATCACTGAGAGAGGTCATGGTAGGAGCTCAAGCAGGAACCTGAGGGCAGGAACTGAAGCAGAGACCATGGAGGAAAGCTGCCTACTGACTTTTTCCTCTGGGTTGCTTAGTTACCTTTAGACCCAGATGCCCAGAGATAGCACTCCCCACAGTGGTGTGGGCCCTCCTACATTAGTTTGTGATTAAGAAACTGCCCCGCAGACCTGGCCACAGGTCGATCTGATGGAGGAAATTCCTCAGTTGAGGTTCTGTCTTCCTTGGTGTGTCTAGTTTGTGTCAGGTTGACAAAAACTAACCAGCCTGCCAGCCTTCCAAATTTCACTCTTTTTCTTCTTCTGCCAAGTATTTCTTTTCCGTGACCTCGAGGGCGCAGCTCTTCTGTTTTTCACAGCTTTGTCTCTAAGGAGTTAAAGATGACACAGTCACTTATATTTTGATTTGCAAAGTGTTTAACTTTTGATCTTTTGCCTAAAAATTGTAAACCTAAAGGCAAAAGAGTTTAGGGATGGATTGAAAGAGGGCTGTCATTCTTGAGTCAATCTCTTTATTTAAATTTACATTTTACTTTGTATTATTATTATTATTAATATTATTATTATTGTGTGTGTGTGTGTGTGTGTGTGTGTGTCTGAGTCTGGTGTGCATGCCACTGTGTACATGTGGAGACCACAGGACAACTTTGTGATTTCCAATTACAGCTCAGACTTCCAGTGGGCTGAGGGATCAATATTTCATACATTTAAACCCACCATTTGGAAGGCTCTGTCATCCAGGGGTGAGGCGAGGGGGACAGGAAGATAGGAGAAGTGGTTAAACCATTTGCTTCTTTCATTGTTAAATTGCTCGACTGGCACTAACTTTATTTTGAGAATTAGTACGAGCGCAAAGTGTATAACCAAGTTCAGTAATCATGATGAACTGTGTGTCATTTGTCTGATCAACGTAATATTTAATTACATTCTCTTGTCTAATGTCCTCTATGAAAGTTCTGTCTATAGTGGGTGGCTTCCATTTATTTTTTTTTCATGTAGTTTTCAGAGGTCCACGATATGGTCCTTGCCTTCCGTTCTATGCAGGCTATTCAGGCTAAGAGCAGTTACTCTTAATACCATTCACAGTCTTCTTTTTCCCAGCCAGTGCACACAGATGGGATGTGGGAATGAACTGAACCTAGAGATTGTTGATACTATCTACCCAGCAGAGCTAATTACCATTTATTGAGCACATACTCTGCTCAGTGTTGTGGTTAGAATTTGGTATGCAGCCATGAGCAAGGCAAGGATATTGTCCTTGAACTTTAAAACCTAGACTGTAAGCAGTGCTTGGGAGACATCTGCCTCTTACCCAGTTCCTAATGAGAAGACAAAAGATATTGAATATTTTGCAGGTCATTTAAGTCTGTAGTCTTACTAGACTTCCTGACACACAGATTTCTATCAATCACGTATTTCTGAGCCTCACTTTACAAATAAGAATCTAAATCTTAAGGAGCTTATGTTGATTAACTGAGTGGATGGCCAATGGAAGTGGGGAAATTAGGATTTGAACTTGTACTTTTCTGCATAGGTGCTCATGTCACACTGTGAATAAACTCTTGAGTATCTCCAGTACATGCCTCAGGTACTCCTTGCTGCTAGGGAGGGTTGGCTATGTAGCACTGAAGTTGCCAGAGGCTGTGGGAAGTAAGGAGTGGCTACCACTATTGAGATGGAGTCACAGAGCATTTCTGTAGGGTGCTTCAGGAATATGTGACTGGCTTGGGGCTTATTGGTCTTTGCTATAGACTCAAACTTTATCTCTTTACACCGTGATCTTGCATTTTCCTTTTGGTAATAAGCCAAATTTTGGTTCTCATGTTTCCTTTCCCTGTGCTTCTGATGGCAGGAGATGGGTAAGAACCCTGGCTTTACATATGTATACATGGAGATCTAAGATCTGAGTCACCCACCATCTCCATTTGGGATTTCCACTCTACAGGTCTCTGTCTTATTTGGTACTAACTGAATCATTGGTTTCTAGTTTCTCAAGCTGATTCTGGAACAGCTCGCCCAGGTGGGAATCTGGTGGAGTCAGTCTTTGTAGCAGGATCATTTCCAGTGTACAACATAACCTCCTGGTTGGCAGGATGTGGCCTAGAAGTCCCACTTATCAATGCATGGTAAGGAGTGGTTTTCCTACATGGTCTCCTCAGTATTCCTGGTTAGCTAAGGTGGACGAGTGCAATTTTTATCAGGATAGGAAAGTGCTCTATCTTATTTTTTAAAGCAATGATCTCAGCTCGAGTATGTTGCATCACTCTTAGTTGGAGGTTTTGTTTAAATACAATTTCCTAGGACATGCCTACCCTCAGAGCCTTTAACGTTGTAAATTCGGGGTAGGATCTGAAAGCATTCTGATGAACTGGTGGTGCTGACTCAGCTAGGCTAGAGCTACATTGTAGGAACCAATTTCCGCTGAGTTTGGTTTTTATGCTGATCATAGGTAGACGGTGTTTTTGGCTCACTCCTCTAATTTCTCCTCGGAATCCTTTCGTCATTTTCTAAGGAACAAATAGGCATTTCTGAGAACTTACCACCAGATGGCACTAGAGCCCCATAGGCATGCCTTACCAATTGTTTTGCGCCACAGTTCACAAAACAGTAACTAAAGCTAAGTCTCCTTAAAGTCCCTGGACCATGTGTATGCTTTATTTTAATTTTCACTTAAACTCAGTAGGATGGGTAGAATTGAGATGCTCTGTCTTGAATGTGCACTGTGTGTATACATATATATGTGCATACATTGACAGACTTTTAATTTCAAATTTATTAACTCTGAAATGATAAAGGCTAATTTGGGTTCCATGGAGCACGTTCACACTTAGAGTGGTCCTGACCACTTATCTTTCTCGTTTTCTTCAAGTTTCTTTGCTCTCGTAGTAGCCTATAGCCAGGGTGGAAAACAGGAGGGTCTTTCTGGAGCCTGTCTTATAAAGGACACTAATTCCATTCATGAAAGCTATACCCTCGCGACCTAAACACCACCTCAAAGGTCTAAGGCCCCAAAACCATACATACCCTTGGGGATGAGGATTTCAACATATGATTTTGTTGTGAGGGGCACAGATATTCAGTCCATAGCAGTGACTGAATAGGATTCCATCTCAGGTCATGTCACAGTTTTTTAGATCCACTTATATAAAAAACAGAACTTGGTAGGCAGTGTGTTTGTACACAGGAACTACGTAAAAAGTCATTTAGGTGGCGTAGCATGTTTCATCAAGGGATACTGGACTGGGAAGCACTGGGTGCCACTGACTCTGATTCCCTTCAGCAAGGGATTCTGGATAGGGAACCAGGACACCACTGACTCTTTGTGCAAATGGGGCTCTAGAAAGTCAAATTCTCTTTGAATCAGAAATGTGAGAAGGGGTAGTCATTTGCTGCTCTGAATCCCTGTGTTCTCAGAATCAATGTTGGGTGCAGGGTGGTGTGTTCTTAAAGATCCAAATTTTTAAAATATATTTTATTTATTATTTTTATTTTATGTGTATGCGTATATTACCTGCATGTAGGTAAATGCATCCATGTTGTGCAATGCCCGCGGGGGACAGAAGAAGCTGGAACTGGAGTTATGGACAGCTGCTAGCTGCCATGTGGGTGCTGGGATTCGAACCTGGGTCTTCTGCAAGAACAGTTAGTGTTCTTAACTGCTGAGCCATCTCTCCAGCCTAAAGATCCAAATATTTATGCCACATTGTTTCTGTTATGACAGGAGAGGAATATTCAATATTTGGGACATTGAGCTGATGGCCTAGAATCTTGGGTGATGAGCTGGTCTTTGTAAAGAGCTGTACTTTGTATTCCACGTCTTAATGGATGTTGTGGCTAATGCCTTGTTTTGATATGCCATAGCTATGTGCCTGCTGAGGGAACAGAAGAAGAATCTGAACTCATTCAGATGACAGCACAGAGACTCCAGAATACAAGTCCACCTTTGGGAGGACACTTCGTCATTCATCTTTCTGATACAGTGATTCCTGGTAAAGGGGCAGGCGGGTGCAACACTTATCATGATGTACTTAAGGAGTTCATAGGCCAACAACAGTCTGTGAGTTTGGAAGTTAGAGCAACAACCTTAAAGCTATTTGCTCATTTTCCTGGCTCTGAAATAGCTATCTTAAAATTAAAAACCTGGGAAGAGACTAACTCTATAATCCCCCCCCCTTTTTTTTTAGCTGGGGAGAGGGAGTTTAATTTTATGCTAGTGGACTGACCCACAAGGAATCAGTGCCTTGTTCTAGTTTTGTGGGGATTTTATGTGAAGAATGCAAGCAAAAGGTACATAGCATACACATAGTAAATAAGTAAGACAGCATAGGGCTGCAAAGATAACAGAAATGCAAAAGCCTTGGGAAACAAAGACTTCTATAAGGGATCAGGGAATGGGGGGTTCCTGTTCACTTCCCCATTTCCCATTTTTGTCTCAGCTTTTCCTGCTCCAGAGTTCCAGAATTTAGATGTAGAACTTGAATGGATTGGCTTCCTGGAGCTGTTGTAGAAAACTATCACAGACTTGGAAATCTAGAGCCACAGAAATATGTTCTTTCTCAGTTCTGGAACTCAAAAGTCCCACATGAACTTATCAGTAGGGCAACATTCCTCCAATTGATTCTAGGTGATGGTCTGTTTCCTGCCCCTTCCAGTTCTGCTGTTTCTTAACTGAAGTGCCATCACTTTAACTTCTGTTTCTGGTCATATCTCTTTTGTCTCAAAATTTCCTCTGCTCCTGTCTTGAAGAATATAAAGGATTACATTGATAGTCTATTTACATAATTCATGATAATCTGCACTCAAACCCTCAATTTGACCATGTTTTCTGCTATAATGTATAGTATTTGGGCTGGAGAGCTAGTGCAGCCTGGCTCACAACTAAAAGACAAGATAATGTACACTCTTGCCTTCTCAGGCAATATTCCTATGTCCTGGGAATTAGGAAACTGTCACATCTTTTATTGGGGGTGGGGAGACACCATTCAGCTAGCTATATGAAGGCGTGCTCTAATGTCTTAAAATTAATGATGGCAGGGTCTGGATGTGAACCTGGATATTTCCGATTCAGGCTAGTCTCTCTAGAAATTCCAAGCCATGTACCCAGGTCAGTCACCATTAAAGTCAATGGTGACACTGTGGACTATTGAAAATTCTAGTGGTCACTCAAATTAGAAAGCAGTAAGAGATAAAATTAGAACAGTGTTTTATAATCTTCAGTAATATACATCACATGACAGAATTAGAAGTGACAGCAATACGTTATTGAACATATTGATAGAGACATTGGGTGTCAGAAGGGAGGCTCAGGGGGATTCAGGAGAGGTGAATTGCAGTTGGTGCAAGGTCCCCAAATCCCTTTGCCTAAGATGGACTAGACTTATAAAGGATCTTCTTGAATAGGAGGCAGAAGGGATGTTTTTTGCTATAATGGGACAACTTAGGAAAAGTTGAAGGTGCCCTGGCTATTGGAGTCTGGTAAAGGAGTAAGTGCCCTGCAGTGCCTTTGCCTCCATGATGTGATCAGTGTGCTACACTTCTCATGCTCTGTGGAGATACCGTCATGCTGTCATGTTGTCACAATGCTATCTGCAGAACAATTGAAAAGAGCCAGCCTTAACTTCACCTTTTGAAATGACAGTAGACCTGAAATTATGTACAAATGTAGAGAAATGTTTTTTATTGTTGGCCTTGTGGAAATGCAGTGGTACTTTATTAACCCTTCAGGGCAGTGTGGAATTCAAGAGGAAGGCTCTTGAGTAGGCGAAAAGCCACCTGAGTTTTAATCTAAACCTGTCACTGGATTGGCAAACTTTTGAGTATCATTAGGGCTCATTTTCCTTTATCCTTCAGGTAGGCACGAAGGTGCACATACGGCCTACCTCACAGGGCTGTTGGAAATAGCTAATGAAATGGAAACTTTTGGTAAAGCATGAGCACAAAGCTTTGTTATTTCTCTGTGGGGATGTGGAATGGGGAGCAGGTGGTTGGGCTTAAAGGAAATTCTAATAGAGACACCAAACTTAAGTGCCAACATTCCTCAGCTGGGTTGGCTAAGTTTTATGGGTGTCAGCTGCTGCATGCCTCCCCAACTCCCTGTGAAAAGTAGCCAACTTTTCTCTGTTCATAGGACCAGCTAAAATTTTCCAAGGAAAAGCCAATATTTAATTAGACTTTCAGCCATTACAAAGGTGCCTGGTGCTTATGTTTCAAGTTGACAGTTGAGACTGTTTTGTCTAACATACCATGTTCTCTGTCACGTGACATAATATTGATGAAAAATATTGTGGTGTAAAAAGTGGGCATCTTCTTGTGTTTGCCTTGGGGAAAAATAACTTAGCAGGGGCAGAAGGTTCTCTTGAAGCTATATTTTTTAATCTGAAGTTCATCTGCAAATGTAGTATGCATGCTGATGTTTACTCTCTTATACATGATGATGACACCCTGCACGGTAGGTAATGACCTCTGTTTTCTGCATCAACACCTTTCTTCATAGATGTCTCCATACATGTATCTGCTGGTCAGCTTCACAAGCTATTACAGGACAATAGTGATAAGTTCACATCTGGATACCTCAACCTCAGTGACTTCACTGTGAAGGAGGATGTAAACTCTTGCTATGAACATGTGTGGACCCTTTCTTGGGCTACCTCAATTGGGGATTTGCCCAGTTTTATCAGGGTATGTATAGTCATCCTTTTTTTGTGGTATGAATTTGACACCCTGGAGAAATTTTGTAAGAAAAAGAAATTCAGACTTATACGGATGAAAACAGTAATGGATTATTCTTATTTATTGGAATATTTTAACAAAGAGGTTCCATCACTTCCTTTGGAAGCTTTTAACACATGTTTTACATCTCATATCCATCTCATTAAATCCAGTGTTTCCTAACTCAGAGTAGGTAGGAAAGCTGTTGGTCAGTGTCCACCACACAGAATCCCACATCTGTTATTGGATAATTTAAGCAGATGTGATTGATTGGATCATCATGGAGGCAGATGGCAAGGCAGAAGGAAGTTTTGAAAAGGATTTGCTGTCTTTGGATAATGATAAAACCAGATGCTCTTGCATATTTAACATTTAAAAAATAATCTAATGATCATCTAGTATTCAGTTATTATAAAATCAAGCCCAAGATGAAATTTATCCAAGTTGTATGGTATTATGGGATATGTGCTTTTTCCAACAAAATCTTGGAGTAGAGATGGAAGAATGGTAGTCTTTGCTTTTCTCTAAAAGCATCATTTTCTTATGTTTTATTTTAATATTTTAGATTGAAAACATAAAATAGAAAGTATTTAAAAGTAAAGTATCTCAAGACAGCGTGTTGGTTTGTCATGCATCCTTAGGCAGCTTCTCTTGCAAATGAACAACCTTGTGCTTCACTGTGCCCTTCACTTGCTATTATTTCCTATTAAGTCTCTTGATTTACATTCTTTATCACTTCAAACAATCTGATTATCTCAAATAGTACATGATAAAAACATGTATCATTTATTTAATCAAGAACAGATTTCTCTTCCACAGCAAAATTCACCAGAAATCTAACTATCTCAGGTCTCAGATCAAAATCTTACTGGGATGAATCCTGTTGTAACTACTCGAGTGGTATATGATGGCGGAGTATTTCTTGGCCCCATTTTTGGAGACATGTTGGTTACTGCCAACCAGCAAACTCAGGTGAGATTGATGAACCTCCACTTCCAGGCATAGTTCAAGTCTAACTCAGCCTTTTGATGAGTTGTAATGTGAGTCAACTGGTTTATCTCCCATGGGTAATTTTTCCATTTACTTTCAAAGTGTTTATAAAATATTATGAAAACACAAAAGCTTTGTAAGAACCATATTCTTTTTAAATTACTGATGTTATTTTATGGTGCAAAAGACAGTAGGCTTTTATAGCTAAATATAATTTAGCCTCCACATAGTGGCATTGTAAGTCAATGGGCTAAGTCAACCCCCTTTGTCCTTTAAAATAACATTTGAAACATCATCTTTCCCATATTCCTATAATAAGTCCTCTACTTTCAACTTGAGAAAAATGCAAAATACAAAAACCATAAGGAATAATATAACCAATTACTAAAGTATCCAAATTGAGAGTGGATAATTGTCATTGTCCTTTTTCTGAACTTTAATTCACATTATTATTATTATTATTATTATTATTTTATTATTCTGGGGTGCATATGCTACAATGTGCATGTGTAGGCCAGAGGAAAACTTTGTGGAGTTGGTCCCTCCTTCCACCTTGACATGGGTTCCAGGGATTGGACTCAGGGTTCCAGGATTGAACTCAGGTCATAAGACTTGGGAGGCAAAAGCCTTTACCCCTGAACCATCTTGCCAGCCTCAACTATCATTATTCTTGTGTATTTATGTATTTTGATCTTTATAAAAATAAAACAGTACAGATAAAGTTAAAGAGTTCTTGATCACTCATGCCATTCAAGGATGCCTTCCTGTCCTGAGGAACTATTATATAAATACCGGTGTGTATTTAGCCCATTTTTAATACACATAGAATCAATCAAATCTTAATCTTATTTTACTTTCCCCATTTCCAAACATTGTTTGAACTAGCATTGGTTCCACTGAAAAAAAAGGGACGTATAGTTTTTTCTTAGGGACTTGCCATTCTATGAGAAAACCACCTGAAATGAAATGTCTAAATCATTTTCCTATGCAGTGAAGACTGAAAAAAACATGCGTATTTTAATGGTCCTTACTCATAAAAAAGAGGATGAGCACTTCTTATGAAGTGGGAACTTAGTGATAAGATGCCTTTGTGTAGTCTAAGTTTATGAATGTTGCTTCTAGATGACAGAGGAAATTTGTTAAAGATTTAACATATTCGGTCACGCACAGTGGCATGCATCAGTTTAGTCTAAGTTCCTCAGGAGCCTGGAGCAGAAGGATCACTGGGGTCCAGGAGTTCAAGGCCAGGCTGTGAATCACAGTGAAACACTTTTCAAAAAGTATGTATTTAGCATATTTAGTTGCACAAATGGACCTCAGCATTTCTACTGCTATTTCAAGAATGCTTAATATGTTTTGAGCCATTCATTATAAGACTTTTCATTGAGAAAGTAGAATAAATGAAAATAAGGGAATAAAGACATTTTAATTAAGGAAATCCTCACAAATACTTTATGACTGCCCTTGTGTATGTGAAGTCTATACATTGTTTTAATTACTCTTACCTTTTGTTCCCCAGGTGGCTGTGTGGGTGAATGACATACCAGCTCATTGCTCAGGCTCCTGTTCTTTCCAATACCTGCAAGAGTCGACACCCAGGGTGGATTTCGTGTGGTATTCCCTCGGTATGGCTGTGATTTGGCATTGAGATGGGCATGAATCTTAGACTCAATGACTTTGTTAGGAGCTATGTACTGATGATGGGCGGGCAGAAGACACATTAGCACCTCAAGTGGAGAGGGGTATAGTAGAAAGTGTATATTTTGGACCATTTCAGGGATACGGTTTCTTATTTGAAATGGGGAGGTGGTATAGGTTTTTTCTAAGAAATAAGTAATGCTAGAGGGCATAGGTTTTAATAACTTAAAGTGTTGATTCTTTATCTCTTATTTTGAAGTATTTTTACTTTGTGTTATTTATTGACTGTGAGTGCTATATACTATACTAAGAAAGGCAGTCATCTAATATTTGGTCCATCAGTAGTAGACTCCTTCAATTTTGGGTGAGAATAAGCATGTGGCATTCAGAGCAAGACCTTTTAAATGAAGTGTTATCATTGAGAGATGATTTTGGTTTTAAAGTTTATTTCCCTGTTTTTAGGTAGTGACATCAACCTACTGGTTTATTTTACTGGAACTGGTTTCTCTAGTGATTCCCAGTCTTTACAAGTTACCATGAACAAAACAAACTGTAAAGTTATTTTCTCAAACCAAACAAATGTGGCCTGTGAGGTAGACCTGCTACCAGTTGGAGTGCATCCAATTTTGATGTTGGTGAGACCGTCTGGTCTGGCTGTCAATGCCAGTGGAGAAGGCCTCTTCCTATACGTGGAACCCAGGCTGGACACTGTGGAGCCCTCTAGAGCTGCAGAGATTGGTAATGTGGGCAGGGTCCCACTGTGTTTCTGACCATCTGAAACTAGTGTTCTTGCTAATATTCAGAAATCTATAGTGTAATAAATCCCATATGCATTGTGATTTACATATGTTTGTCTCCTAAACCTTTCTTCTAATAAAGGACAGACTTTTAAGCACTGAAATGAACTTAATGCCACATAAAGGTTACAATTAGTCTTGTGGTATCAGACACAATAGGACCACTGAGTCACTTAGTCTATTGTCATTCATCTTAAATACTTAAAGATGCTCAGAAGATAGAATTATTGTTTTCATATATCAGATGAGGTAATGATGGTTCTAAGAGAAAAGTGGCCTATCTGAGGTTTCACATGGAAGGAGTTAAAGTACAAAGAAGAGTGCTCAATGTCAAGGCTCTTAAAGGTTCTGCATACTGTGCTGCCTATAGGATGGTCTGGCGATGTTTCGTATGGAGTGGACACAGCTTTATGTGAGAGCAAATGAATCAACTGGCCAGAAAGCTCTTTTTGAAGTAAAAATATTTGGCAAATGTAGAGTACAGGCCATGCTTACCCACTAGGAACTCTGTACGTCGTTTTTATTTAAAAAACCCATGCTATCTGATGTACACCTGGATATTTGTGTAGCCTGCAAAGCTAACTACTGTTCGAATAGTGGGAATTCAGAAGGCAGTGGTTCTTGTCAATATCAGACCCATGGATTGGGTCCTACTTCCATGAAACACTAGAGATCTTTCTACTTCTTATTGCTTTCTAAGGGATTCTACTAGATGAAAAACAAAGAAGCAAAATCAAGTTGGATTGCAACAGTCTTAGAAATACTCTTGTTCATGTTTGCTAATGTCTTTAAAATATTTTATTTATTATTTTTATTTTATATGTATGAGTATATTGCCTGCTTATATGTAAGTGCACCCATGAAATGCAATGCCCACAGAGGTCAGAAAAAGGCATCAGATCCCCTGGAACTGGGGCTATGAATGGTTGTTGGCGGTCATGTGGGTGCCGGGAACGAAACCTGGGTCCTCTGGAAGAGCAGCCAGTGTTCTTAACTGCTGAGCCATCACTCCAGCCCTGATATTTGCTAGTGTATTAACTTTGGGGCATACAATTCCTTTCCCTAATGCTTTGGATTTTTGTCATTCTTTATACTGGTGGTCAGAGGCCTGTGGCTTAGAATAAAATTTAAAGTGGTGTGCTCTAGCCTCAAAGGGCAAGTTTGTTTCTAATTCTCTTTTCACCTTGAAAGAGTGAATGAGCAGACTCACTCATCGCCACACATCAAACAGCAAGATTTTGTTGCTCAGTGATCTGAGGAACCAGGTAGACTGTAGTGCTCAGAGCACAGACCATCTTCTTCATTATCCCAGAAATTATTGGCTTGAGTTAGGGCCCGCTATAGCCTTCTGACTATATTTGTAAAAGGCTTTGATCTTACAAAGTTACTTTTGCAGCTCAGGCCATACTACTAGCTTGCAAATATTTTAAAGGCAAATGGATGGCTCAGTTAGCTTTACCATACACTTGCACAGGTAGGGTAATTCACTGCTCTGTTTGTCTGGGACTGTTTGTCTTGCTCCTAGGATGCAAGACTTTCAATTTTTATTTTTTTGAAACTTTTATTTTTAATTTTATTTATTATTTTTATTTTATGTGTATGCGTGTAAGTGCACCCATTGTTGTACAATGCCCGCGGAGGTCAGAAGAGGCTGTCGGATCTCCCTGGGACTGGAGTTACAGACAGTTGTTAGATGCCATGCTGGGATTCGAACCAGGATCTTCTGTAAGAACAACCAGTGTTCTTAACTGCTGAGCCATCTCTCCAGACCTCGACTTTCAGTTTTAAAAAAAATATTTTATTATTTTTTTATTTTTATTTATTTTTAAAGTATTTTATATTTTTATTTTATGTGTATGAGTGTATTGCTTGCATGTAAGTGAGTGCACTCGTGTTGTGTAATGCCGTGGAGGTCAGAAAAGGGCTTCGAATTCCCCTGGAACTAGAGTTAAGGATGGTCATAGCCACCATGCGGCTGGGAATCGAACCCGGGTTCTCTGCAAGAGCAGTCAGCGCTCTTAACCTCTGAGCCATCTCTCCAGCCCCCATTTATTATTTTTATTTTATGTGTATGAATTGTATTGCCTCATGTGTGTGAGTGCACTCCTGTCATGCAATACCCACAGAGGTCAGAGGAGGGTGTTGGATCCCCTCTAGCTGGAATAATGGACAGTTGTTAACCACTATGTGTGTGTTGGGAATCAAACCTGGGTCCTCTGCAAGAGAAGCTAGTACTCTTAACCTCTGAGCCATCTCTCCAGCCCCTAGAAGATTATCTTAAAAATAGACAAACAAAAACAAAACAATACAAAAATCCCTACCAAACTAGAAGTAGTAAGTTTCTATTCATCATGAGCTAGACTAGGAAAATGTGTTGTGATGTCAGCTCAGTGATTGGCGTTCTCTCTCTCCTCTCTCTCTCTCTCTCTCTCTCTCTCTCTCTCTTTTAGAAAAGATTTATTTATTTCATGTGTGTGAGTACCTACACGTGTATATTTGCACCCTGTGCATGCTGGTGCCCTAAGAGGCCAGAGGATGCATCTGATTCCCTGCAACAGGAGCTACAGGGAAGATTGTGAGCCTCCATGTTGCTGCTGGGAACTGAACCCAGCTCCTCTGCAGGAGTAGCACATGTTCCTAACCACTGAGCAATCTCTCCAACCCCACAACCTCTCTTCTTACCTACATCTGCAGTGAGGACATGGGAGTTCCTGGTGTAATTTATTCAGTGGTTGGCAAAGGACTCCTGATGGTAGAGGATGGTCACACCTGTCGCTGTGTAGTATTCTGGCGATGAGAGCTTGGTGTTTGTGATATCTAATCTCCAAGTTGGAAAGGCTTTTAAAGATAAGGAAAATGAGGATGGGTGAGCTCATGGACAAATGAGCTGATTAAATAACAGAGTGATCTGGGGCCCTGGCTTTAGACCCACTGCCCATCATCTACCTCCATGCTCCCTCACTCTGCTTCTTGGAAAAGAATAAGCTTTATAGGATTGGCAGGAATGATATTTTAGAATCTAGGACAGAAAATGTTTTCAGATACTGTCTGCTTCTGTGACTCCTGTCAATAGTGCATCCTTATATTTTATTCCCAACAGGGTTCCACTTTCTTGTCTCTAGTCACCATCTCTCTCTCTCTCTCTCTCTCTCTCTCTCTCTCTCTCTCTCTCGGTAATTTCTATATTTCAGTTACATCTTTTCTTGCAGTTTCAGCATTGGCTTGTGTTTTAACTAAAGAGTTACATATTTTCTTTTGATTTTATTTTCTCCTATGGGTAATTATTTTTTTTTATCTGCCAATATGGCTGTGAATCCCATATGAGAATGATGCCTTGTTACAGGAGGAGTCTGGGCCACCATCCGAGGCTCTAGCTTGGAAGATATCAGCCTGGTGTTATTTGGATCTCAGGCTTGTGCCATTGATGTCACTACCAGCAGTTCACACCAAATTCAATGCAAAGTCCCACCTAGGGTAAGAGGAAGTTTTTGTCCCTCTCTAGGTATGGGGGGGGCGTGACCCTTAAGTAACATACAGTTTTCTTTTTAAATCACTTCTAAGAACTAAAGTAACTGAACTGAACTTCTCACCATGATAATATGCTTGTACTATTTATATTGCTTTTCTCTGAAAGCAGAAAACGACCCCATATTGTAACTAATTTCAGTTAGTTAAGGCAACTCAAGCAGTCCTAGTGTACACCTTAAAATATTTTTATTGAAACTTTGAGAATTTCATACACATGTATTTTGATCATACTCAGACTTTGTCCCCTATCTGTACCCTTCCTTACCACCCTCTGCCCAATTTTATGCCCTCTATTATTAATTTCATTTAAGGCCTATAGAGTATGATTTATGTCCCCAAATGCCCCTTGGTGTGGATCCTTCCCCTGGTGCCTGGTCAACCCACCCTGCATCACATCCTTAAAGAAAACTGACTCTCTCTCTCCCAGGAGTTATCAGTTGCCAATAGTTCCTCAGATAGAGTTGGGGCTTCTTAACCCCCTGTATGCTGGCGATTTGGCTGGTTGAGCTTATGTAGGTCTTGTGCATGTTGTCACAGTTGCTGTGGATTCATATGAGTAACTGCCCTGGGAAACACTATTTCCTTGTAGTCAGTCACCATCTCTGGCTCTTAAAACCTTTGTCTTCCCTCTTCCATAATGATCCCTGAGTCTTGGGAGCTGTGTTAGTCGTTAGTCACGTTTCTGTTGCTGTGATAGAAACACCATGACCAAGGGAACTTATAAAAGGAAAAGTTAATTTAGCTTAAGATTCTGAAGGGGTAAGAGTCCATCATGGTGGGGTGACATGGTGGCAGAGGTGGCTGGAGTAGCAGCAGAAGTTAAGCACTCACATCTTCAAGCAGACACAGGAAGCACAGGCTTAAGAACTCTCTAAGCTCTGCCCCAGTGACCTGCTTCCTTCAGCAAGGCCACACTTTCTAAGACCTCCCAAAATAGCACAGCTAAGTGGGTACAAAATGTTCAAATACTTGGAGCCTTATGGGGACATTTTCATTCAAACTACCAGAGGAGGCAAAGGTTTAATATAGGTGTTCAAAATAGTCATTCAGGGCTAAGCACTCTAGTCCTTTATTCTCTGTACGTGGAATAGTTGTGGGTCTCTGAGTTACTCACCATTTCCTGCAAGAAGAAGCTTCTATGGTGAGAGCTGAGAGATGCACTAATCTGTGTGTACAACAATAAGTCATTAGGAGTTGGTTAAATACTGTGCTGGATAGCTTTGGTGTCAACTTGACACACCTGGGTAGAGGGAGCCTCAATTGGGGAATTGCTTCCATTGGACTGGCCTGTGGCCATGTCTGTGGGGCATTTTCTTGATTGTTGAGTGATGTGGGAGGGCCCAGCCCACTGTGGGTAGTGCCACCCCTGGGCAGGTGGGCCTGTGTTGGATAAGAGAGCAAGCTGAGCAGGGGCCAGGGGAGCAAGCCAGTAAGCAGTGTCCCTCCATGGCCTGTGCTCCAGCTCCTGCTTCCAGGTTCCTGCCCTGAGTTCCTACCTTGGGCTCCCAGATGAACCTGGGAGGTGTAAGCTAAATAAACTCTTTCCTCCCCAAGTTGGTAGTGGTCAGAGTGTTTTGTCACAGCAATAGAGAAACTAAGACAGAAATTGGTACCAGAGAGTGGGATATTGCTGTGACAGACCTGACTTTGGTGTTTTGGGAAAACTGTGGAAGTGTTTGGAACTTTGGGCTGGAAAAGCCATTGCGTGCTCAGTTTGTTGCTGTGGAGGCCTGGCTTGTGAAGCTTGAAAGGGAAGCAGAGACTATCAGGGCTGTTCGTGTAAGATCTTGAATTAAGAATCTGTGGGTTCTGGTCAGCTGGGGTTGGAGAATCAGCTGTGATTAAGAAGAGACCAGAAACTGAAGTAAAACCTTTGCTTTATTGGCATAATTGATGCTGGTTAGCTGGGGATGAAAAATCAGCTGTAAGTAACAAGATATCGCTGTGGTGAAGTCTTCTGGGAGGTATTTCCTCAGAGTCAGCACACAGAGGGGACTCGTGCCCCTATCTCAAGCTGGAAGCAGGACTTGGTAATGTGGAAAAGTCTCCTGCATGGTTCTGGTCTTGAAAGCGTGAAGGGGTCACAGAGAGCAGCCGAGGCTTGGCACTCTGAGAGGCCAGGAAAGGCCATAGGTCAAAGTGCAGCTTCAGTTGCAGCAAAGACACCAGGATTGAAGGGGTCATGTAGAGAATCTGAGGCTTTGCACCCCAGAGGCAAGAAGAGGCCATTGGTGAAGGTGTAGCCTCAGTTTCAGTGGAGACCCCAGCTTTTTGGAAATGTCGGAACCATGGGATGACCACCAAGAACAGTGGTAGGTGTGAAATGGAGCTGGCCTGGGTCTGCAAGATGAGCTGTTTGTGCTGTGGACAGCAAAGTCAGAGAAATGGAGCTGCCAGAACCCTTTGGAGGCCAGAAGATCATGAGTGACTCCTAGATGTCCATCCTTGAGCTACTTTGCTGGACTTTGGTTTTGCTTAGGTGTGCCCGATTCTTCCCTTTGAAATAAAACAGTACTTGTTTTGGATTTTACAGAAGCCTACCCACAGTTGAGACTTTTAAAAGAGACTATGGACTTTTAAGTGTTTGGACTTTTTTAAGGACTGTGGGGTTTTTAAGGTTGTACTGTCTTAAGTTGTGATATTAATGTTAACATCATAGTTTGGGGACAAGAATTGGAAAACTTATGGTTTAATAGTGATGTGTTTGTGTGTCAAGTTGACAAGGGGTCAATTGTACTGGATAGCTTA